CAGAGCAAGACTCTGTCTCAACACAAAACAAAACAAAAAAGATGGCAACGAAAGACTGGAGACTACTTAGAGGGGGCAGAGAAGGAAGGGTCAAGAGTTGAAAAAGTAGCTGTTGGGTCCTGTGCTCACTACATGGATGATGAGATCAATCATACCCCATACCTCAGCATCACACAACATATCCAGGTAACAAACCTGCAAGTCTACCCCCTGAATCTCAAATGAAAGTTGAAATTATTTTTTATGTGAATTTTTAAAGAATCAGTTTAAATATTTTCTTCAGAATGTTTTGTTGTTTTTGCTTTTGTCTTTTGAGACAAGGTCTCACCCTGTCATAGGCTGTAGTGTAGTGAGTCACGGCTCACTGTAGCCTCAACCTGGGCTCAAACAATCCTCCCACCTCAGCCTCACGAGTATCTGGAACTACATGTGTGCACCACCATGCCCAACTAATTTTTAATTTTTTTTTGTAGAGACAAAGTCTCACTGTATTGCCCAGGCAGGACTCAAACTCCTGAGCTCAAGTGATCCTCCCATCTTGACTAGCACTCCCAAAGTGCTAGGATTACAAGTGTGAGCTGCCATGCAGGCTCAGAATGTTATAACATAATCTTCCCTCCCCCAAAATAAGACCAATTTGAGCTGTAACTACCCAATGAGTTCTCCTTGCCCACTCCCCAGATAGAGCCAATTTATTAAAATGGGGGAATTGCAACAGCGAAAGAGTTTTAACACATGCAGGGCCGGCCAAACAGGAGACTGGAGTTTTATTACTGAAATCAGCCTCCCCAAAATTTCTGAGGCTAGGGTTTGTTGTTTTTGTTTCTATATTTGTTTTTTGTTGGAGTCTTGCTCTGTCGTCCAGGCTGGAGTGCAATGGCGCAATCTTGGCTCACTGCAACCTGCACCTTCCAGGTTCAAGCAATTCTCCCCCCTCAGCCTCCTGAGTAGCTAAGATTACAGGTGTGCACCACCACACTTGGCTGATATTTGTGTTTTTCGTAGAGATGGGGTTTCACCATGTTGGCCAGGCTGGTCTCAAACTCCTGACCGCAGGTGTAAGCCACTGCACCCAGCTGAGGCTAGGGATTTTTTAAGGATAGTTTGGTGGGCAGGGGCTAGGGAATGGGGAATGCTGATTTGTTGGGTTGGGGATGAAATCGTAGGGAGTTGAAGCTGTCCTCTTGAGTTGAGCAAGCCCCTGAATGGGGACCACAAGACCAGATGAGCCAGTTTACCTTGCCTGGGTAGCACCAGCTGATCCATCAGAATGCAGGATCTGAAAAATACCTTCAAAACCAGTCTTAGGGCTTATAGTGATGTTATCTTTAGGAGACTCCGGGAGGTTAGGAATCTTGTGGCCTCTGGCTGAATAACTCCTGAGCCATAATTTTTGATCATGTGACTAATTTGTCAGGTTTAAAACAGTGGTCTGGTCCCCAGGCCTTCAGAGGGTTTTTCCCAATAGGGGCTGTTACCATCTTTGTTTGAAAGTAAACTAAACTCCTACTAGTTAGTTTTGGCCCATGCTCAGAATGTACAAGGACAGCTTGGAGGTTAGAAGCAAGATGTAGTTGGTTAGGTCAGATTTCTTTCACTATCATAATATTCCGATGTCAGATTTTTTCTGTCATAATTTTGGCAAAGGCAGTTTCAAAATTCTTGATTTTATTCTGTCACAAACTTGAAAATGGTAGTAATTTTGGCCTTTTAAGGTGCAGTGTATGTTGGAGAAATAGAGAAAACCCAATAAAAGTAGCACACATTTTTAGGCCTTAGTATCTATGGTACAATAAAGAATTTCTGTAGTCTTTGTTCCAGATTTAGGCACAGAGTCTCTGAAAACTTTGGAATTTCCTGAAACATAGGATTGTCTTGTTATATTAGTGAGGTGACTCATGGTAGGCCCCTGGATGGTTTCAGATGGGGACTGATCACTAGAAAGACCAACCACATTATTAGAAGGTTAGGATAGAGCCCGGGAGATTGAGTTCAGTCATTTAGCCAATCATTTAATCAGTCATGACTATGTAATAAAAATTAAAACTCTAGACAACCTAAGTTCAGTAGAGCTTCCTGGTTGGTGAACGCATTAGGGTGACACTCCCAGATTCCACAAGGAGAGGGTACAGGAGCTCTACTTCCCCTCCCACACCTCACCCTGCCTTTGTGTATCCTTTATAGTAAAACTGTAATAATAAGTATAGTGCTTTTCTGAATTCTATGTGGTGTTCTAGTAAAATATTGAATGTGGGAGGGCTGTGGGTACTCCTGAATTTGTAGCTAGTCAGCCAGATATGCTGGTGGTCTTGCCGCACCCCCCCACCCCCCGCTGCCCCCGCAAAGACTTATAGCTGGTGTTGGAAGTGAGGCAGTCTTGATGAAGACTTTGCTCTTAACCTGTGGGTCTATGCTGACTCTGTATGGATGGCATCAGAGTTTAATTACGGTATACCCAGCTTGAGGTAGTGTCAGAATTCCATCTTCCGAAAAGACTGCAGAGCCTGGCCAGTTGGAAAGAATGCTTGTTTATTATATGGTTGCTTGCAGTTGGTGGGAATTCATCATTACTTCCCCTTGCATTACAGATGCCTTTTGCCAAAGATTTCTGTCACATACATAGTGGTCTGTTATAGTGGTCTTTTTTTTTTTTTTTTTAGACAGAGTTTCGCTCTTGTTACCCAGGCTGGAGTGCAATGGCGCGATCTCGGCGCACCGCAACCTCCGCCTCCTGGGTTCAGGCAATTCTCCTGCCTCGGCCTCCTGAGTAGCTGGGATTACAGGCATGCGCCACCATGCCCAGCTAATTTTTTGTATTTTTAGTAGAGACGGGGTTTCACCACGTTGACCAGGATGGTCTTGATATCTTGACCTCGTGATCCGCCGGCCTCGACCTCCCAAAGTGCTGGGATTACAGGCGTGAGCCAGCGCGCCTGGCCCATAGTGGTCTGTTTTTTGCTATGTCCTGCAACAAATCAATAACTTGGAAGCCATTTCTTTTCTCCAACATTGGCCATATTTGGTAATGTAGAATGTTGAATTGTGAATCAGCTCTGAAAAATCCTAATAAACAAACAAATGAACCTTAAAAATTGATAACTTAATAAGTATAATATTTACCTTATATTAGAACAAAGACTTATCATATGATGCCTTTCATTCTGGTAGGTGTCACCAAGGATTCAATGTAAGACTCAGAAAAGTCTTTGACATGGAAGGTGTTGTAAACCAAGCACATTCTGATTTCATTATCATGGCCTTTTGGAAACCCTCATCATTTTTCATTTGGCTTATCAAAGATACCCCCTAACTCCTTTCCTTCTCTATTCAGTCTATTCTAAATTTTAGAGCAAGACCCTTTTTTTTTTTCTTTCTTTCTCTCTTTCTCTTTCTTTCTTTTTTCTTTTTTTTTTTAAATTATTGAGACAAGTTCTTACTCTATTACCCAGGCTGGAATGCAGTGACGTGATCACAGCTCACTACAGCCTCTACTTCCCAGGCTCAAGCAGTCCTCCCACCCCAGTCTCCCAAGTAGCTGGGACTACTGGTGTGTACCACCACACTTAGCTTTTTTTTTTTTTTTTTTTTTAGTTTTTGTAGAGATGGAGTCTATGTTGCCCAGGCTGGTCTTGAACTCCTGAACACTAGCAGTCCTCCCATCTTGGCCTCCCAAAGTGTTAGGATTACAGGCACAAGCTACCTCACCCAGCCCAATTTTCTTTTACAAAATTTGTTCCAAATATTCCAACTTTTCCTGTGCTAACAAGTGATTTTTAGTAGTATGCTCCCTAGGAAATTTGGGGTAGGACGCACAGACACTCTTTTTAGGGTGAACGTGGTATTTTAGCATTGAGTGCAAAGGTAGCTACACTTTAAATCTGTGCCATGGAGAAAGCAATTTGAAGATGGATGTTTAGAAATGTTATCATCTGTATGTGTTTTGGGTAGAGAAATATTATGCCTCCTCTAAAAACTGGTAAGTCTATCACTTGAAAACATTGGAAACAGAGTGTTTCTAATCCTCCAAAAGAAAGGTTCAAATTTAATCTATTGTTTAAAAATATAAAACTATAATACCTCTTCATTACTTTCAAGAAAAAATGCTGATAGTACAGAAGATAGAAATTTATCATCCTTTGGAGGGAATTGAAGAACAAGTAACATGGTTTATTAAATAGAGCCAACAACACACTTCATCCATTGGAAGCTACATGTCTTTGTGAGGATTATTTTATTTTATTTTATTTTATTGAGACAGAATCTCACTTTTTCAACTAGACTGGATGCAGTAGCATGATCATGGCTCACTGCAGCCTTGATCTCCTGGGCTCAAGTGATCTTCCACCTCAGCCTCCCAACAAACTATGACCACAGGTGCACACCACCATACCCAGCTAATCTTTTTTAATGCCGAGGGTCCCGGGCCCCCGCCCTGGAGCCGCCCAGCCTCCAGCTAATCGTTTTTAAAATTTTTGTAGAGACAGAGTCTCACTGTGTTGCCCAGGCTGCTCTTAAGCTCTTGGCCTCAAGTGATCCTCCTGCCTCATCCTCCAAAGTACTGAGATTACAGGTATGAACTATCATGCCTGGCCTGTTTTTTATCTATTAATAAAAGCAAGTCAAAAATCTAAATTAAAAAACCAAACCACAGAAGGGTTTAGACTTAAGATTTTTAAAAATGTGAGCCATCTGATTAGGTGCAGTGGCCCCCACATGTAATCCCACCACTTTGGGAGGCCCAGGTCGGAGGATCACTTGAGCCCAGCAATTCAAGACTGCAATGCGCTGTGATTGAGCCACTGCACTCCAGCCTGGGTGACAGAGCAAGACCTTTTCTCAATAAATAAATAAATAAATAAATAATCAATAAAAATGAATAAACGAGTACATAAATATGAGCCATCTTCAATTACATTGCACTCTAAATGACAAGGTGAAAAATTTTGTACCAAGAATACATAGGGTATTTAAAACATTTGTTTTACTTATTCTTTTTTTTTTTTTTTTTTGGTTTTGAACCTTTAATGAGAAAAAAATGTATACTATGGAGCTCAAGAGCACTCGGAAACAGGGTATACACAACAAAAATACACACGGTCATAACAAGAAAAACTGGCGCCTGGCACAATCAATTCTCAGATTGGTCCTCACTCAGCAGCATGTTGGGGATCCCGCGGCTGATGGAGAACATACGTCCAGACTCCAGGCACTGCACGGTGCCCTCCACCACTTCCACCTGCGGGTGGGGAGGGACAGAGCTGAGCACTGGCAGCCTCAGTGCGGGAGGCAGGTGGCCCGGGAAGCAAAGTGATGGGCCGCTTCTCACCTCCAGCAGCAAGTGGTACATGGTCCTCAGAAACTCTTTATTCTCCTCATACCCCTCAACCGGCCCTTTAGGCACCTGGATCAGGTGCAAGTTATCAGCCACCTTCAGGAACGCCGCCCATTCCACTTTGGGTATCATAGGCGCCACAAATTGGGGGTTGAACTCCATGGGGCAGAAGCGGACCTCGGTAGCCTAGAGGCACTGGGGGAAGCCATGGGGTCCCACCCCCCACACATGCGAGCTCAGCAGATGGTGAGTGAGCAGTTTCATGTTGCAGCATGAGCTTTCTCCAGGCTGGAACCCTGT